TGTGGACTTCAACTCCCAGAATTCCCCAGACAGCAAAGCTGTCTGGGGAATTCTGGGAGTTGAAGTCCACACATCTTAAAGTTGCCAAGGTTGAAAAACACTGCCTTAGACGTTTATCCGAAGAGACATCTCACCTGTTCATCAGACCCCCTGCTCAACCTTGAGCCCTTTCACCGAGCATTCCATTACAGCTCACTTTTTTACAGTTTTTCACATATATACCTCTACAAGCAGCCCACCTCAAAACATCTGATGTGTGATGCTCACATTATAAGACAGCGCCAGCATATTTTGAGAGCCGAGCCATCAAGAGCGATGGCACGCTTGAGCTGTGCTCTCCTCCCCGCCAACTCTTTTTGCAAATTTCAGATGTTCATTCCAGCGTTTCCCTCCCCTAACGATACAGCAGAAGATGCCTCCTATAGAACCGCTTTGCGTAAAAAGGAATCCAAAAAGATCTGGAAGAGACCCAAGCGGAGAGTTGCTTAGGCAAGTGGGGCAGCTATCGAAATCAATAAACCCGAGGTGCCATGCTTGCATTTAAAAGGCACCGTGGGCACCTTCAGACATTCCCTGAAGGTGGGCGAGACGGGGAACGAGTCCTACGCTAAAGTGCTCCAACTCCTATTGCGGGCCTTTCAAAATGAGGAAAAATCTAGTCTGCAGCAATCGTAGATATCGGTGTGTGTTGGGTATGTCCAGCTTGGCACCAAGAAGGGATCCATCCAGGCTGGTTTCTGCAGAGTGCTAGGGGAAAAAAACCTACCTGGCATTTGCACACCAAACTTCAAGTGGAGAAAATGCTTCAGGAAGGCATTCAGCTCAGCAATGAATGAAAAACAAAGGGGGGGGGTTGGAGGGGTGCTGGTGGACAGATATGATAGGATCTATTTATAGCATCCTGTGCCTGCTGGAACTGCCTATTCGGGCCTGCATCGTCCTTCTGGGTGAGGGGCCTCTTCTGGCCGCCCCTCTCCAACCTCCCCCCCCCCACAAACCTTCAAGGAGCAGCCTGCCTTTCCTCGTCCACGCATCAGATCAAACCCAATGATCACGCCCACCCTCCAAACGCCCCGAGCCCCCCGCC